TGTTAACGTGTGGGAACATTTTAATTTCACTTGATGTGTAGATGGGGGAGTGCGAACAAAACGATATAATTCGTGCCGTATAAATGAGAACTTGCAATTATATTGTGCTTTAGTTTATTAATTAAGTGTGTTACATTGCGTAATTGTGATAATTGAATATTGTCTATGCATGAATTTCATGCGCTACTTTATACCTTGAAGTAATTATTTGACCTGCACAATATCTATTTAAGATTAAGTGATAATTTTTTTTAAATATAATTTCATTTTCCAAACAAGCGTTTCAGTCGGAAAGTAAATAGAGCTATCTCGTGCAGGGTAAACACACATGGAAAAATCCTCGGAAAAATCTGTCTTTGTCCAACTTTCCCCTTGTGAAAATGTGATTCAATCTAAATATTTTTGTTTTCGTTCGAGAGTACTAGTTAAGAAAATCGATTTTCTGAACTGGGAAAAACTGTGAAAGATGTTGTTCTCGCCCTCATAAATACATTTTTCCCATAATTTCGATACAAAAACAAAGTTTTTCCCATGGACTGGCTACGCCACTTGGGTCACGTAACGAAATATTTTGCTTCGAACATTGTTACAAATAGTGAGTGCCCTAATGAAGCGATATAGCTCTTTTGGGGTGCTAATGTGGCAGGATTTCATACTTCATGCCAGTGTCTTGGAATAATGATAATGATAATGAAAAACCACACTGAAATGATCTTTCTTTGGAACAATTTTAGGAGGTCTTTTTAGAGTGAACACTTTTTGGTCACAACCAAAAAGGAGATTCAGGCAAAACCCACGAAAGAGCACTGCAGGCAATGGTCGAAAATTCCAGGACAGAACCAGGATCTTTCTGGACACCTCTAACGGGGAATTAGCTTCGTCCATCTTAAAGCTAAGTAGGATGCAGATAAAACGTGCTACTGTCGGTTGAACAAACACCTGCACAAAATGAGACTGACTGTGGCAGATCATTATACAGGGGCTTTGGTCACTAAGAAGAAACACCACACCACGTCATTTGTCATTGTGAGGCATATACAAAGGGAAGGGAACGCCTACTTGGAAATGAGAATATTACACAAGAGGAAGTAACGAAGGTTCGCCCTATCAAAATATTCCATTACCTAAGTACACCTGCAGGATTTTTATGGAACCTCAGTTGATCTAAAGGATGTCTTTTTTAAAGAATGTTAAAAAAAGGTTTTGGAAAGCCTTTAATAACCTTTCAAGAAATTCTGAAGTATTTTTGAAGTATCTTTTGAGAACCTCTGAAAAACCCTTTTAGAATTGCTGCAATATCTGTGAAAGAATGTTTAGACTCTCTGAAGGACCCTTAATAAACATATTATAGACATCTAAATCTTATAATATTGCACAAAACATTCTCATACACGAATTTCTCCAAGTGTACTCTCAACTCTCAATTAATTTCTCCCAAAACAAAAAATCCCAAGAATCTTAGCTCAACTTTCCACAAATAAATTCATATGCCAAGAAGTGAGAAAAACCTCTCGAGCCGCAGGGCTCGTTATATACATAATTACTTGATTAATGGCAGAAGGGCTCGCTCTAGTCGTAATCTGCTTTTATACCAGGTACGGTACTTAAGCCAACCTCTTCAGAAGGAAGTGGTGGTCTCAAATATCATTCGCGTTTCAAACTCGATCATAACTTAGCCCAGATGGCAAAGATACTTAGTAGCTACTGATTTTCACAAATTATGAATGTAATCGCATATAACCCTGAAGGGCCCAAATCGTTACCAACTAAGATGCTAAGAGTTACCGAAGTTGTTCCTTATGAGGGTGGATCCTCGATATTAAATCTCCTTCATGACCCGGTGACCTATTTGTTATCAGGTATCGGTGAATTTAATCCAAGGTTACAAAACTTGTACGTCGAACAAGAATTATATGATGTTAACGTAAAACGTGTATGGAACTTGGACTCTCTTATATAAGAGGGCTAATCGTAGATGAAGCAGCAATTGTCGAAGGAAAGTACAGTACAACAAATTACAGTCGAAACGATAAAAAAGGGAAGAACGCACATGTATAACCTCTACTAGGAGCACAGGCTAATTTCGTCCAAACGAATCACTTTGGAATTGCCAAGTGTGAATCCAATCGACAGAGATCAATATTCGGAAGATGACAATATGAATTCCATGATGTGTTCTACCTTACTCTTCCAGTGGTTTTTTTAAAAATCGACGTGTACTTCGATACGGCTTACGAAGGAAAAGAAGTGACAATCGACAACCAAAAATCAAGGGTCTGGCAATATGTGCGGCAAAATTTCGTGGTTAAATTCCATTAATAGATGGAGCCATCTATCAAATCGCTTCAAAAGTTACGGGTGTTATTCAAGTAATAAACCTTAAACAACAATGCTTCGTAATAGTGTTGCATAAAGTTTTCTGCAGACATAGTGTTTTCGTACCAACCAGGACACTTATTCCTACTTGTTATCCGTATTTCTTGCTTGATGCTCTTCTTAAGTGTTTGAGGCATATTAAAAGTTGTCGATAGCCCATTTCTCGACGATGAGCCGGCTTTGCATGTGTCATTTTAAGCCGGGTTCCACTAAGTATTTAAACAGTCATATTCTCTGCTACTTTTTATATCAATCAAAATGTCGTGATATGCTACGGATGGATACGAGCACTAGGGACCTACTTTTTTAAACATTTTGTAGGGGAGATTGGAGTAAGTAGACGTCAAACTAACAGGTTTACGTACGACAATGAGCGTTGACAGATTGTGCGTTTAAGTTTAACAAAATCAATCTTATGAAAGGGGTTAATTTTTTTTATTATGATATTTATAATTAGAATAACTTCCGATTTGATATCGATTATTCCCACTGATGTTAAATAAGTGGCTTTTGTAAAATGCCAAAACGTGATATGTATACCCAAATTTATTGACACTATTATCTAATTAAAATTAATTAACCAATTTACACTGACACCGTTAATAGATTGAGTTAATTATACTCGTCAGTGTTGGGTTGGCGCAAGCATCCGTTTCTGCATTTAGAGGTTTGTAAATTAGAAGTTCAACGGGAATTGGAGAGCAATTTACTAATTGATTGGGTTATTAGTTGCAGGTTATTATATTGAATTGAATTAAAAAAAGGACGAATTTTGGAACTCTGGCCCAAGCGAGGGAGAGTGCGTTTCATTTAATTAATTTTTAATTATTTATATAAGTTCCTTCCAAAGTGTATTTGTTTAAAATTGCAGCGGTAAATATTTGTATTATTGAAATTTAGAAAAGACCCCATATCTATTGAAAAAAGATCTTAAAATGTAACATGCCCATGTATTTGAGTGAAATAAGTCTGTTTTGAAATGGCTGTAGGTAATTGTTTTATAGACGATTCTGTCACTAACAGTATACCGAGCAGTATACAAACTTGACAAACGAAAGAGCCAAGTGTTTTGAATCAGTTTGTAATTATTCCTAGCTTTTATTGTGAGTTTTTTGGAAAATGTCGCACTCACAATAGTGGTGGTAAAAATTTTTATTATTCGATAAGTACCTACTACGCTGGTTGTAGTTTTTTGCAGATCTTCATAGATAAACGACGGCTTATACAGGGTGAACATTTTTGTCTGGAATACTGGATACATCTTCAAAACATTTTTTTAAAGAAGTTTTTTATGGTATTCACAATTATAAAAAAAATGCTACCAATTTACGTAATTTATGGTCAGTGGCGTACATGGTTAAGGGGGCAAATCTGTCCGTTGATCTGAGCTGCTTCCTCCTGGACCTCCACTACCATGAAGTTTTCTTGCAACTTTTTCGATATGGTCACATGTAATTTCAAGGCACAAATTTGGTTTTTCCCATTTTTTCGTCGTTTCCAGATTCTATAGTTCGATCAGAGCTTATGATTCTTCAGAGGATTCTTCTTATGTTTCTTCGAATTCTTCCGTTCTTTTCCTGTGATTTCTTTAGAATCATCAAATTCTTTGGGATTCTTCAGATTTTGAAAGTTTGTTAGAATTATATGATTCTTTCCATTGTTTTCCGTTTATTTGACGTCTTCAGATTTTTCAAATTGTTTAGATTTTTTTTTTGCATTCATGTAATTCTTTTGTTATTCTGCTTAAATGTTGTTCTGATGCTTCGGATCGTGTTGAATCTTTTTGTAAACAAGTATAAATTATGCACAACTCTTGTACAGATATTTTATAACCGAAATAGCTTAGTAAAGGTTGAGTTATAAGGTAGTAGCATGCTATATTTATCGATGTTTACTTTCTTTGTAGATGATTAACAAAGAGGGGGCGTTTAGACATAAGCATTTAAAGGGCGCCTGGCATACATTCAAAGTCTACGCTATATAAAGCAAGAAGAATCAAGCCCTTAAAGAAATTCTCTGAAATATGGCATTTTCCCTTTGTAGGTACCCTCCTCCAATATTTTCGTCTCGTCTCTCGTCTTTAATTCCTATCGTTGAGATCTTTCATTAGAGTAAGGATAAAACCAGTCCCCCAAACAGTCGAGACCTTTAATTAGAATACTATGGAAGATAAAATTAATTTCTGAATGGTTAAAATCGGGCTCAAACATCATAAATGATTTTTCTTGTGTAAAATAGTGACGTATCATGCTAAACACATTAGCAACCATTCCCAATTCATAACAAAAACCATAAAAATTTATCCGGTTTGTCTTTCCTTGAGCAATTAAAACAAAATATAAAGGAGTGAGCGGAAATGGATTAATTTAATCTTTTCATAGAAATTTAAAATAGTTAACTTTAGCCGATCGCATAAATGCGCAACACCCACTTTAAATTGGGCAATATCCATGAAATATTCGCCACCATGGAGGGCCATTGACATACATTCGATATAAACTTGAAAATTTTAAGTTTTTAGGTTAATTAAAGCTAGATTGATAGGCGATAAATTGATAAGTAATGATCACCATCGCTCAAATTTGTTAATTATAGATGAAGTTATCCTTGGAGTTACCTCGTACCTAAGCTCGTGGTGAATTTCTTTAATTAACGCATCCGCCATGACCATGAAGTAACTAATAAATAAAAAATTTTTATTCAGGATGACCATTTTCGATCGGTGTATTTTCCAGTTGCTCTCTGTACTTCATTTATTACGTTAAATTGCCGTGGTGATGACGAGTTTAGTCGCTTTTGTGTGTAATCCTTATTTTCTGTCAATAGGGTGATGTTTCTTGATGTTCAAGGGGAATTAGTATATTAGTTATAGCTGTCAGAAATTGGGGCTTTCCTCGTTTTGACTGCGTGTCGATGACCACATTTCTTTAGTGTACGAGTAATTTATTGTGATTGTAAAACAAACCAGAATTTCATAACGGGATATAGACATTCCAATTAGTATAGAAATACGCGATTGTTTAAATCGAGGTTTGTATTTACATAGTGATGCAGCATAATTTCTAGTAGATAATTAAGTAATCGAATTTTTAATATCCTTATTCTTGTAATTAACGACAAGGGTTATAGTAGCTTCCGTGATTACGTTGATAGTATCACAAAGATGGTCGTTCGTATTTGTTCTCTATAAACAGCTGAAAAGTAGTAATCATGATGCACTAGTTCCAGAAATAACTAGTCTATATTTATTTTTATTTATAAAACTCTCTTTAGATATTACTTCCGGTTACAACCTTTCCCGTACCTACAGTATTTCGAATTTCTATACACTTTCTCAAAAATATTGTGATGTGCTTCAGATATAAACGCCCAGCGACCTAGTTTTTGGTACGTTCTGTAGAAGCAAATTGATGTGAGACAACGTGTAAAAAATCACGCTAATACATTTTTTTAAATTTTATAGCAGATGTTGAATTGACATTTTAATAGATTTAAATGATTAGTAATATTCTCTTTTTAACCATAAGAGTGGTTAAAGTGATCTCTTTAACCGCAAGCGTAAATAAAGAAAAACAATTGATTGTGCATTCTAATAGAATGCGGAGCACGAAATAAAATGAAATTCAGACCAGAAAACAATAATGTTTCCATGGAAGCGACGGCGCACCTAAGCTTGATATTTTTGACGTCTACATTAAATGCAGAATTTTTAGAAGAGTTATATTGATTTATATGGCTTCTGATAAAAAATAAAGACGATGAACGGAAACTAACCATCTCGAGAAAGTTAATGGCGTAGCCACACCTTTCACACGATGCGATGGTTAAAACATCCCTCTATTTCTTGTATAATAAATAACTATATTGTACCTGAATCACAGTCTCCATTTTGAACACTCAAATGAGTGTGAAATCGGCTAGGAAATCGGGCATTTAATGTTTAAAAAAACGTTATTTACATAAACGTCAGCAAAATGACACATTACCAGCGAGGAAATATTGAAGTGCGGCCCCGTACGATCGTACGAGTCAAGTAGTGTCATTCTTCTCAATCATCAAGAGTAGATACTAATCTAAAAAAGGTTAGGTGGTGTAAAATTCAAATGCTTTATTTATTCCTAACCGTAAATCCTGCGTAATTTATTTTGCATAAACACTATCGTTTTTCCTTGATCTAACTAAAGTAAAGGAATGATGTACTGTACATCAAATTAACTTGGCTGTTAAAAATATTTTAATTTTATTTTGTCAATAATCAGATTCTAGAAAAAAATTGGAACACAGTGATACGGCAAATTTTGGCACCTTCAGGTAGAAATAAGAGCAAGGTGAACATTTCAGCGTGTTCGATCAAAGCACACTGGTTATTTACAAATCGTTTCCAAATACGTACCACACATATTCTCATTTAATTATTAAAACAGTTGTAAATAAATATTTAATAATGCCATCGCCAAGGCTGCATTCTATAATTATTTATTATCTAACAAATAATTACCCTTCGGTTTTAAATATAGTCTCAAGAACGTTATAGAAGCAATGTTACCTCACAAAATGGATATTTGAAGCATTTTATTTACAAAACCTTACGGTTAACGACCTGTGTTGTAAGACCGAGCCTTTAAATTATAAAACTCTACAGTTTGGTGCGTGCCAAAATTTACGGTGCATACATTTGGGTCACTTACACAAAGGATATAATCTGCTTAAGATTGCATATATTTTAAATAATTCATGCGTTAACTGAAACCCACTCCGCTATTACCGTTGCCAAGCTTTGTGCTAGGAAAATGCTCTAGTCTAGTCCCTATAATCTCCAGTAGGTCGTCCTCATTGTGGCTATGTACACAACCTTAATTTAGCTAAAGCGTATTATTTTAACCTACGTGCGACACGAACAATATTCCATGCCCTCTTAAACACGATGCACGAGTAACCAAAAACGAGACAACAAAGTTATTTATGATTAATTAATGTTACGTTCAAACATTACTGAAGGTGCTTTTACGTGTTTTTGAATGCAAAACATACTAAGCGTAATGAAGCAAAAATTTAAATAACAAATTGACTAATTATTGAATCGGTGTCGTTTAAACCTGTTCGTATAAGGATTTCCGAAATCTATTAGATAATTAGTAGAGGAGTTCGACTGAGAATTCATCGTGTTCAATTTTTTCTTATCTGACTTCCGATCTATTTAAATTTGAACTTTCATGTTTGTTGATATTTTAATTTGTTGCTTATTTCTTCGTTGCTAAATTGTGTGTAGGTAGAGATTGATAGTAATACATTCTTTTGCCTAATATAGCATTCGCATTTCCTACATCATTATAGTCAACAAATCAATGGACGTATCAAACAAATATCTAAATCCATTAAATGAAACCTGAAAGGAACTATACACTGTGTCCTAAATAAGGATGTCTATCATGGGGATCTCCGAAACCATAGAAGATACGACGATGCGCAATTAAAGAGTTATTATGATAGTTTAAGGAATACCAGAAAATTCCGATTACTTCCGAAGATATGCAAGAATTTCACGATTAGGGCGGTGCACGCAGGTGCACCATCCGGTTGAACACAACAGCTTACAAAAGTATTGTTTTTGTTGTGGGCTGTATCGTTGCATTCGTAATAAAAAATGCTACTCAATACACGGCGTACTATTTTACGGGTCATCTAAAAAAATTAAGTTGACGATGATTTTCCCTGAAACGAAACGTTGTATTGAAAATCTATCAACGTTGTCTTGTAAACGAGTTGTGTACAAAACGGCAACGTACAGGACTACACGTAATGTAACTACAAGGAACTAATTTACAATTCATAAGCAATTAAAAAAAAACTATTCTGAAAGATTGAAACTTAAGTAAACTAGCAACAAAATAACAACAAGTTAAAAAGTAATCGTAAACGATTTACATAAAGCGCATTTCCACTTGCATTCATTTCCCATTTGTAAGATGCAACTTCTGTTAAAATCGTAAAAATCTGGCCACAAATATGAAAGATAGCGTTGCACATGGGCAATCCATTTTTGACGTGCTACTTCAATTTCAGTTTATGAGAAGAATTTCATTTCAATGCTTTTCTAAATAAGAAAGTTGGAATTGCGCATGCGCAAACCTAAATTTTAAAACTAATGTTAGATTTTCCTTTGTTCCAAGCGCCTAAGTATCACATTTCACTTAAATAGTTCCATAGATAAAAAAGTTGGCACTGCGCATGCGCAAAATAAAATTTTGAAACTGGCGTTTGATTTTCCTTTATCCCAAGTGCCTATGTATCAAATTTCGTTTAAATTCTTCCATAAATAAAAAAACTTGGCACTGCGCATGCGCAAAACCAAATTTTGAAATTGGCGTTTGATTTTCCTTTATCCCAAGTGCCTATGTATCAAATTTCGTTTAAATTCTTCCATAAATAAAAAAGTTGGCACTGCGCATGCGCAAAACCAAATTTTGAAATTGCGTTTGATTTTCCTTTATCCCAAGTGCCTATGTATCAAATTTCATTCAAATACTTTTATAAGTAAAAAAGTTTGCAATTCGGTTTACAAATGGTCGAGATGCGAAAAGGGCACTGTGAATTTTGAATCGATTCGATTCAACTTTTGGCATTGCGTATTAAATGGCTAAAGCTATGCCCATATTGAATTTCATGCAATTCAGTTCATAACTAACGGAGATGTAAAAGCGATCGAACATTTCTAAACAAAGTTATCGTTCTCACGGACAGATAGATGGACAGACAGACAAAGGAACAGACGGAGAGATCAACCGGCAGGCGAGAGATAGCAATGCAAAATTATAAACGATCTCTAGGATCGTTAATAAACGGCAAAAGTGTAAAAAAATTATGGAACATGTAAAAAACGGTTTTTTGTTTTTTTTACAATAACTTTTTTTGTAAGCGGTACAGAAAAAATTCCTTCCTTGGTACAAGACTCGACACCATAAAGAACCAAATAGCGAAAAAAGTAGAACAATAGCTCTTAAGATAAAGAACTAGTAGCGTCGCAAAACGAGCGGACGGACGGACAGCCGGACGGACGGACGGACCAAGTGGCCACAATAGCGCATTTTTTTTATTTTTGTGGAAATGCGCTAAATAGTTATTTGTTTCATTAGTACAAAAAATGTCAGTTTTCGGGACGAGGAAGGTAGTTGCTGGACGACGCGTTAGCGAAGTCCAGCAACCTTCCGAGTCCCGAAAACGCATTTTTTGTACGAATAAAACATAAAATTTTTTCTCCAACCCCCTTTACTTCAAATTATATTCGAATTTAGATTCAGTCACAGTTTCACTACTAGTATAACAAGTTCTGCTTTCTTGTCCTCACGTGTCGTGCCACTCTAGTTTTTAGGTTATAACCTATTCGTTCTTATTTCTAACTTCTCACCTCTCGCGACTTTGTAGGGAGCAAATCTTGAGGTAGGATGTTCTGCCGTTTCTATAATCACTGGCGGAGTCCAATCCATGTCGCTATCAGTTTCAGTCATTTTTATTGTATACACAAATTAATAATGTTATATTTTGTATTGAAATAAACAACTTACCATACAGTTTTTTAATTAAAATTAATTGCAATTAACTTTTTCAAATTTTGAATTCAAAATGACAGATAATAGTGCAATGGGTCTGAAGTAGATGGCGTTACGC